ACTGCACCACACCAACCTGCCCATTTCCACCTCCATGGTCTGCTCCTAGCCTCCTTATCTGCTGCTGCTGCCTCTTTTGCTGTATCTCTCTTGGAAAATAGAAACCAGACCCTGAAATCTTGTAATTGCCTTGGACTCTTCTCACAAACACTCTCCAAATCAAATTAGTATTAAATCGTGCCAATTTTTTCCTTGTGTTTTGAATTTTTTCTTTTTCCACCTGCCCCCTAATCAATCCAGCCTCAGATCTTTTTCTTCTCCTTCTCAAACTTTTATGTGGGTCAGCATTGCTTGCTATGTTTATGAAAGATGGATTTCCAACCTAGGAGATAGCAATTTCAGTCTGGTGGAGGTATATGATTTATAGGACTGATTTTGGGATGCTTTCCTCAACACAACTCTTAAATCCACCATTTATGTGCTTGAAATCCTTCGTTGGCTCTCTATACCAAAGTCTGAACTCACCTCTCCTTTCCTGCAGTCTAAATTCCTACTCCACACCCTCACATACTGCCCTCCCCCATCCCTCAACTACTCAAATATCCAACCTCTTCTGAGCCCTGGGGTCTTTTTTCTCCTCCACTGCAGCCAGGCGAAAACCTATCCAAATCCTATTCAGAGTTCTCCTGAGCAGAATCAATCTCTTCCTTCTGTGCTCCCTCAGCAATCCAATCCATATTCATCTTTATTATAGAACGTATTTGGTTTGTGGGTGCCTGGGTGGCTCAGTTGGTTGGGTGTACGACTCTTGATTTCAGCCCAGGTCATAATCTTGGGGTCATAAGATCGAGCCCTGTGTCAGTGTAGAGTCTGCATGGGGTTCTTTCTCCCTTTCCCTCTGTTCCTTACCCCCCTCCCAAGCTTACACATGCACTCTCTCAAATAAATAAAATCTTTAAAAAAATTTTTGGTTTGGATTAGTGGTTCTCAAAGTGTGGTCCCCAGACCAGCTGCATCAGTATAACTGGGAACTTGTTGGGATTGTAAATTTTCAGGCCTCACCCCAGAACTACTGAATAAAAATCTCTGGGATGGGACCCAGCAATTTTTTTCTTTCTTTTTTTATTTTATTTTATTTATTTATTTGACAGACAGAGATCACAAGTAGGCAGAGAGGCAGGCAGACGGGGGAGGGGGAGAAGCAGGCTCCCCGCTGAGCAGAGAGCCCGATGCGGGGCTCAATCCCAGGACCCTGGGATCATGACTTGAGCCGAAGGCAGAGGCTTTAACCCACTGAGCCACCCAGGTGCCCCTGGGACCCAGCAATTTCTGTTTTCACAAGCTACGCAAATCTCCAGTTGGTTTGGGATCTCCTTGGTTAGACTGTGTCTTCCCTGAGGGCAGGTGGTCTGTTTTATTTACCTCTTTCCTCAGTATCCAGCCTGGCCCAGGCAATTGGCAGGTATTCAAGAATGAATGAATGCAAAACACCTTAGAAAACTTTTTTTTTTAAACTTTTTTTAAAATAGATTTTATTTTTATTTATTTGACAGACGGAGATCACAGACAAGCAGGCAGAGAGAGAGGAGGAAGCAGGCTCCCTGCTGAGCAGAGAGCCCGATGCGGGACTCGATCCCAGGACCCTGGGATCATGACCTGAGCCAAAGGCAGAGGCTTTAACCCACTGAGCCACCCAGGCGCCCTAACTTTTTTTTAAACTATTTTAAATAATCTCTACACCCAATGTGGGGCTTGAATTTATAGCCCCAAGATCAAGAATCGCATGGTCTACCAACTGAGCCACCCAGGTGCCCACACCTTAGAAATCTTTAAAAATCCTTTGTGGGGGTACCTGGGTGGCTCAGATGGTTAAGTCTCTGTCTTCAACTCAAGTCATTTTAGGTCGTGGGATCGAGCTCTGCGTCGGGCTTCTGGCTCAGCAGGGTATCTGCTTGTCCCTCTCCCTCTGCCTCTCTCCATGCTCATGCTGTCTCAAATGAATAAATATTTTTTAAAAAAGGATGTTTTGCAGATCATACTTTTGTAACAATTGACGCTGTCCTTTCATGGATATATATCCATGGCTCTTTTTCATTCTGTTCTTGCATATGCTTAGACCTAGGCTGTTTCCTTCTCTCCTCCTTGTCCTCTGTCCCTCACCCAAAGCCAAAGACAGGGCTATGTCTTAAGTAATAATGCAGATGATATCAGTGACTACCAGATATCTGATGATGGGATGCTGGCGGGATTGTCTCGATTTCTACACATTGCCTTTACGTTTCATGAAGAACTTGAACAGCAGCAGCTGTCTGTCCATCTGCTTGTGGCCCGGTCCCGTGGCAACATCCATTTCCGGTGGGTATGTGGAAAATACCTTCTCTTCCCCAAAGTGATGGTGGAGCGAGGTGGGTAAAGGAGAGGAACAAAAGACCCGGAAGCAGCAGGATACAATGAAATAACATGATGGACTATAAAGACCATAGGATTTGGATTCAGGCAACTTGAATTCAAATCTCAGCTCTTCCACTCCATAAACCTGGACGAAATGTTTAACTTCAATTTACTCAGCTATAAAATCAGGAGAATATTGTCCTGCCTTACAAGTAGTGAGAATTAAATTAGGATGACTTATGGGGCACCTGGGTGGCTCAGTTAAGTGTCTGACTCTTGGTTTCGGCTCAGGTCATGATCTCAAGGTCTTGAGATCAAGCACCATGTTGGGCTCTCTGCTCAATGGGGAGCCTGCTTCTCCCTCTCCCTGTAGCTCCCCATCCTTGTGTTCTGTCAAATAAAATATTTTAAAAAATTAGGATGACTTAAAAATGCTTCCCATTGATGCTAACACAAACCTTGATACATATTAGTCTTTATAAGGATTAGAAAAAGATAATACTGGAGCACCTGGGTGGCTCAGTGGGTTAAAGCCTCTGCCTCTGGCTCAGGTCATGATCTCAGGGTCCTAGGATCGAGCCCCACATCAGGCTCTCTGCTCTGCGGGGAGCCTGCTTCCCCCTCTCTCTCTGCCTGCCTCTCTGCTTGTGATCTCTCTTTCTCTCTGTCAAATAAATAAATCTTAAAAAAAAAAAAGAGAGAGATAATACTGGGCTGATCCAGGGCTGTGCTGCATAGCTGTGGCAGTTATCAGCCACCCTAAAAGGTATCTAGACAAATGGATATAAAAGTGCCAGCTCCAGGGGCACCTGGGTGGCGCAGCTGGTTGGGTGTCTGACTCTCGGTTTCAGCTTGGGTTGTGATCTCAGGGTCGTGAGACTGAGCCCCCTGTCAGGCTCTGTGCATAGCAGAGAGTCTGCTGGAGGCTCTCCCTCTCCCTCTGCCCCCACCCACCATGCTCTCTAATAAGTAAATTAATCGATCTTTAAAAATAAAAATAGGGGTGCCTGGGTGGCTCAGTCATCAAGCATCTGCCTTCGGCTCAGGGCATGATCCCAGGGTCCCGGGATCAAGTCCCAAATCGGGCTCCCTGCTCCACAGGAAGCCTGCTTCTCCCTCTCCCAGTGCCCCTACTTATGTTCCCTCTCTTGCTGTGTCTCTGTTGAATAAATAAATAAAATCTTAAAAAAACAAAAAAATAAAAACGCCAGCTTCTGAAGTGGCACGTATGGGGAGGTGTGCTGTGGGAACGGGGCTGTAGGCCTGGGTGAGATGGGAGGATAATGTCTGGGGGAAAGAAAACACCACCAAAGCCAAACTGATCCAGGGTGGAGGGCCAAGAAGGGGCAGAAAGGCCAAGAGCCAGACATCACCAAGGAAATACTGGTTTGGATCAGACGGGCTCATAATGCACAGACAGACTTATAAATCAAAGCCAAGAGTCTCCAAGGTCTTTGTAGAGAAGCTACATAAAATACTATGATTTTATTAGCAACCACAGATATATCATTTTTCTCATTTTACACTTATCCTGTTTCACGCAGAATGAATTATCAATCCTACATCTTAAATAACATGTCGCTGAAAAAATTAAGTTAAAATGCACTACGTAATAGTGCGGACACAAAGTGCAGCCGGCAACTGAACACGTGAAACGAGGCTGAATCAGCGGTACTGAGATCCCATTTGGTTTTCCAGAAAGTGATACACTTCGCCCATCTTTGGTCAGTCCCGGAGCAGTCAGCAAGCTGGATGATAAATGCGAACTCAAAAAGCTAAAACACTGAAGACCAGACAGGATCACTCGAGTCAGTTTTACGAGGAAATGCTCAGTCCCTTGTCTGCCGACGGTGATCTGCTGTAGTGCCACCCCCACTGCTGTCCCTACCGTGTGACCAGACCCCCTCCATCATCCAGCCTCCGGGCCAAGTGGAATCCTAACCCTGGGAGAGTCGCTGCTGATCACTACAGCATACCGCCGTTCACACCTGACCTGGGGGGCAGGGGTTCTCTCCCTCGGGGATACCTCTGACATATCTACTTCCCAAAAGACTGTGTCAGCGCCCTGCTGGGACCCGTGCACAGGAAAGGTTATTTGCCAGGGGATGTGGTACCAACAACGGTTGCCGTTCCTCATAAATAACCAGCTCTAAATCCAAAAGACCATTGTCTCTGCTGTGGGAAAAGGGGGCCACCTCGTCAAGAACAAGATTTCAGATCTGACCCTCAGAAAAGGGCTCACATGTAAATCAGCTTGCGGTGAACTCCCTCAGAAACGCTGTTCCCAGATCTCCCCACTCCGAGTCTGAGAGGCAACTGTGGGGCATACACGGCCTCCCCTGAACCGGGGTCAGGAGGAAAGGGGTGTCGGTACTCGTAAAGGAATTTAAATTCTGGCCTGAGGACTCGCGAACCTGGCTCCAAGCGAACCAGTGCGGCTCCCTGTGCGACTGACAGGAGCCTCAAGCTGACTGTCTCCGGGGACCAACAATTCACTCATGTCACTCACCGCCATTAAGAGAATGGTTAGAGCAACTGGGTTTTGTAAAAAGCAGATGTGGCACGATCAGGAGGTCCAGTGACTGTGTGCCAGAACTGATTTCGTTTACATCAGCTCAAATACACGTGTCTATGTGTCACACACCGGGGCAGAACCTTCGAACGAGTGGATCTCTGGCATCTCGGAGATGCGAAGTTGGCGGGGAAAACAGCCTGTGCAGTCCCTTGGCTGGGGAGACCGTCTGTAAGCCCGCCTCCGCCTCTGTTTCTATCCCGAAAGACTGACCATCTACCCCCACTCCACGAAAGAAGATGCTGGCGCAGGGCCGGGCCCTCTCATCAGAAGGCGTCTTTGATGTTCTTGAGCTGGCGCACAGCCAGGTCCACGGGGAGGCTGAACTTGAGGCTGCTGAGGCGGCTGAGCAGGTTGAGGGCGCTCTCAAAGCCTGTGTGCGCCATGTAGCTCCAGGGCTGGTAGTGGGGCTCGATGAGGGACCCCGACTTGCAGATCAGGTTCACCCAGGACACGAGGCGCTGCTCGTTCAGGGCCATGCACACCAAGGCCTTCAACTCGGAGTCTGCGCTGCGTTTAAAAGGGTCGTGCTCCGTCAGCACCATGTGGATGGCTGTCAGAAGGCTCTGCTTGGGGGTCACCACGGTGCCTCCCGTAACCGGCAGGGCAAAGGACTGGGAGAGCTTCCGAGCGGGGGATTCCACGTAAGCGCGGCCGTTCTTAGCATGGTAGTACTTTACGAAGAGCTCCCACGGGTGCATGGCCTCGGGGGCTGAGGAGAAGGCCGGCAGCAAACAGGCGATGGGGGCCATGACCAGGCTCATCCCTGGTGAGGCGGCGTAGAGGCCATGGGCCAGCAGGTCCCTGACGGCCACTGTCAGCTCCTTCCGCACAGCTGTGGTCAGCTCGTCCTTGCCTCCTAGGGACAGGTCCTGGAGGCTGGCGGAGGTGATGACGTGGTCATGTGGCTGGTGCCTCAGGGCCAGCTGCCTCACCCTGTCTACTGAGATCTCCAGCCTCTTCAGTAAGGGGGTGTAGTCCCCGTCAGCCTGGCCCCTCTGCCACAGGGTTTGGGGGATCTGGCCCGTGGCACAGCCCAGCTGGCTCACGGCAAAGATCTGGAGTACGGCCAGCGCGCGCTGCATGAGGCGCAGCCCCGACTGCTGAACCTTCTTCACGTCTTCTGCCTTTGCTGTTTAGGAAATGCAATGGCTCATCAGTGGGGACCATAGTGGCACAGAAGTGCACTCAGCAAGACACGAGCTGAGGGGGATGAGCTGAGATCTAGTCTTGCTTCTGAGCTACAGTATGGGTCCCCCGTAGAGCCAAGAGCCACCCTGGAGGTCGCTGGGCTTAACTGTTTTGGGTTAATCAGAGCTATATTGAGATATAGAGCATATACCATATAAATCATGCATTTAAGGATACAAAGCAGGGATTTTTAGTATATATACAGAGTTGTGCACCCAGTGTCCCAAAAAAGAAACCCTGTACTGTTAGTATTTCCCATTCCTGTTCTCCCCAAGTCCGTAAACCCTAGGCAGCCACTAATCTACTTCTTATCTCTCTAGACCCGCCTGTTCTGGAAGCCATACTTACTCCGGCTGTTTCCTGGAGGCAGTCTGCTGCCACCCGTTCTCGTGGAGCCACTTCCAGTCTTCCCACCGGCCTTGCACTCACAGGGCATGCTCTCTGCCTGCAACGGGCTTCCCACTTCATCTGTAGTCAGCAGTTACAAAGTGGAGAAAAAAGAATATTCCCCAGTGCTTCCCACATGGTAAGACTTTTTACAAATATCATCTGATTTGTGTGGAACAGTGACTGGCTCAATACATATTTGCTGAATGAGGGAGGCATGAATCACCCTTTCATGGGTGAGGACAGTGGGGCTAAGGAAGTTAGGAACCTGCCTAAGAACCCCAGGTCAGGAAGTGGCGGAACTGGGACCTGAACTATTTGGTTCTAAAATCCATGTTTTGGGGGCACCTGGATGGCTCAGTTGGTGAAGCGTTTGCCTTCAGCTGGGGTAGTGATCCTGGGAACCTGGGATTGAGCCCTGCATCGGGCTCCCTGCTCCCTCTGCCTGCAGGGGGCCTACTTCTGTCTCCCTCTGCCTGCCTCTCTTCCTGCTTATGTTCTCTCTCCGTCAAATAGATAAATAAAATCTTAAAAAGAAAAAAAAAAATCCATGTTTTTGGGGTGCCTGGCTGGCTCAGTTGGCGGAGCATGCGACTCTTAATCTTGGAGTTGTGGGTTTGAGCAACCCCATTGTGTGTAGAGATTACTTAAAAATAAAATCTTTTTAAGAAATAAAACAGGGGTGGCCTGGGTGGCTCAGTGGTTTAAAGCCTCTGCCTTTGGCTCGGGTCATGATCCCAGGGTCCTGGGATCAAGCCCCATATCAGGCTTTCTGCCCCGCGGGGAGCCTGCTTCCTCCTCTCTCTTTCTCTGCCCGCCTCCCTCTCTGCCTACTTGTGATCTCTGTCTGTCAAATAAATAAATAAAATCTTTAAAGGTAAGTAAATAAATTAAAAAAAAAAAAGAAATAAAACAAAATCCCTGTTCTTTCCGTTCTACCATGCTGGCTCCTTTACTGAGTGATCAGATTTCCTACAAAGTACATCAAGAACTGGCATCTTCAGGTACCAGTACCAGGATTATGTATAATTATTATTTTTTAAAAATTTTATTTCTCTGGGAGAGAGAGGGAGAGAAAACACACGACTACATGTACTCAGAGGGAGAGGGAGAAGCAGACTCCCCGCTGAGCAGGGAGCCCGATATGGGGCTCGATTCCCAGGACCCTGAGATCATGACCTGAGCCAAAAGCAGATGGTTAACGGACTGAGCCACCCAGTCGCCCCTGCATATAATTATTATGACATCGTCCTCCCTTCTCTTCCCATCCCCCCCTCTGACCTTGGATGAAGCTGATGAACATCTCGAGGTCTCGGATCTGAGTTTTCAACTGCTCAACCAACTGCTCTTTCACTCGGGCTGGGTTGACAATCTGAGCCACAGCCGCATCCACACGCTGCCGGAGCTCATCAGTGGACAGTGAGCTGATGTCTTCATTCAGGTTCATGTCCAGTTTCTTTATTAATTCATCTATGATCACCTGTCAAGACCACAAGCAATGAGCACAGCCTCTGGAATTTTCGGAGAGCGGGTTAGGAAGAAGGGTATTTGCTAGTACGCTGCGTACCCTTTAGATGGAAATCAAAGGTAGAACTCCCAAATTTGTGAGAGAAAGAGCAATGCAATTGGCGACCAAGGTGAGAGGACAGAGCTGCTTCTCCTGTAGCAACAAGGACCCTTGGTTCCTCTCGGACAGAAGTGGCTCCTCTCAACTGCAACTTTTCTACCAGGCCAGGCAACTCTCAGGGCAACAACAGTGTGAATGATCTGAAGAGGCTGATGATCCAAAAAGCCTCACAGTTAGCATCCCCCCAGGCCTCCAAGGGAATAAATACCGACTTCCTATAGTTTCTAGTCCTCCTCCTCTCTTCTTGCCCTACTCTAGGCAACTAAACAAAAATCTCTACGGAACTTCAGTGTGTCAAATATACCCTATATACCAAATATAACCTAGTGACAATATTTGGGATAGTTTGAAATCCAGATAACGTATAAGTCCAGCTCAGCCACAGAAACAGCCACATCAGAGTGAGAGACAAACCTGTCTGTCGGGGAGACTGTAGCCGTGTTTCTGCCGGCCGGTTGACCGGTCTACCCAGGGCTGCTAGAATAAATATGGCATTACAGCCAGTCTGGATTCCTGGAATATTTATCAACTGGTGGTGAGGAAAAAAGCTGATTTACACTGTAGGATGTGTCTAAGTAGAAGTGTTTTAATGGTCAGATGGAAAATTATTATTATTATTATTATATGTTATTACTATTATTACTAATAACCATCAAAAGGGAAGAGCTCAATTATCATATTATAAAGCTTTGGAACCTGTGTTTCCATGTGTGAATAAAGGCTGTCCCATTTCTCTTTGATTTGGGCCAGCAAAGGGATTCTCAGGAAGGCCAAGGGCAAACAAGCTAAGAAAGAATGCTCCTGTGAGCTCTGGAAGGGACCAGGTAACCTCAGGCAGTGGTGAAGGTGGCTCTAGTGTCTGCTCACCCGCTGTCTTTCCAAGACCACGGACTGCGGCAGGGAGTCGTAATTGCCCTCTTGATAAGCAAACGTTTCCAGGTCATCTAGTTGGGTTTTGAGCTGTAGTATAAGTTCCTTCTGCTTCTCCCTTTGGGTTTCCAGACGTTCCCGTTTTTCCTGTTCACTCTAAGACAAGAAAATACTTAGGTCTATCTCACAGGAAAAGGAAAAAAATCCAGGCACATTAAGAATCTTCTCAAGCTAAAAATGACCCGTGAAACATAAAATGTCTCCAAATAATCCCAACCAGATGTTCCCGTTTTTCCTGCTCACTCTAAGACAAGAAAATACTTCTGTCTATCTCACAGGGGAAGGAAAAAATCAGGGCACATTAAGAATCTTCTCAAGCGAAAAATGACTCGTGAAACATAAAATGTTTCCAAATAATCCCAATGAAATGCAGAATTCATGAGAGAGGGTAAACAAACAAACAAACAAACAAACAAAAACAGAACAGAGATTTCCTCCAGGGTAATTTATTAAATGTGTTTTAAGAAAGTGTTTGTCCCTGTCAGAAATAGAATATGAATACAATGGAGCCTTTTGTTAAGATAGCCTTTCCCCCCCCAACCAAATGTCTAGTTAGGACTGAGACAAACTTATCTTAGCCAAGACAGCCTCCCAGGAACTAAACATGCCATTCTCCACAGCCAATTACTACAGATCAACTCCTGAATACTTCCTACAGCCAAATTTTGCAAGAGAATCTAGAGATAAGGAAGGGTGTAGAGAAAGGATTTATAACTCATAACCAGTTTTCTTAAGGCTCTAAAGCCCTCCAGTGCATTATAGACTTCTGCAAAATCAAAAGAATTAAAGTGGGTGCCTGGGGCAGTGAAAAAATAAAATCCAAAAACCAAGTAATAGGAGTGGGAAGGCAACTATGTTTAAAAAACGAAAAAAATATCTGGTAAGTTTCCCTCACCAGTGATTCCTTTCTCTACTGTTGGCCATGAGATAGTTTCTGCATTTAAATGATTAAAAACCCTTCAGGGTGGTAAAGTGTTGCCAAAGTATTCTCAAATACTAGTTCTTCCTTAACTTTCTTGAGTGTCAAAAACAAAACAAAGCAAAGCTAGCCCATCTTGTGTAGGTATAGAGCTGCATTTTAAACCAGCAGTCTACAGGATGTTAAATTTAACCTTCAGATGGCACTTACCAAGCCCTCCAGAAGATATGAGCGAGAATAAATGAAAAACAACAAATTAACTTTTTGTTCAAGCTATTTATTATTATTTTTTAAGATTTTATTTATTTATCTGACAGAGAGACACGGCAAGAGAGGGAACAGAAGCAGGGGAAGTGGGAGAGGGGGACACAGGATTCCCGCTGAGCAGGAAGCCCAATGCAGGGCTCCATCTCAGGACCCTGGGATCATGACCCAAGCTGAAGGTAGGTGCTTAACCACTGAGACACCCAGGCACTCCTCGTTCAAGCTATTTAAAAAGCAGTCCACTTGCTTTAGCTTTACTCAACATGAAAGCAAGCCTTTTCTCGGGATACTTCCTCCCCAAACTTTTCCGTGCTGTGGTTTCTTAGAAACCTGCTGTGGGAGGACCTAACTATCCTTCAGGTTTCCTAGATCTCCCTAGGAAAAGCTGACCATTTCTTGCTCTGCATTGGGTACACACTTCTCTAGTTCATTTCGCACTGCAATTCTTTGTTGAGGATTCTGTCCCCTAGTCAATGAACTCGTTCTAGGGCAAAGGCCTTGACTTTGCACCCCCAATGCCTAGCACCATGTCCGGCACAGGATAAGCTCCTAATACACATAAAACAGGTACAGAGCAACATAATCCAAAAAATGAGCTCTGACTAGAAGAAGCTGTCTAGCCAGCCCAAGGAGAAAAAATGGGGAAAAGCTGTGGGTATGTGGAGAGAAGGATGGAACAACACAGGATTGCACTGGAAACATTTCAGATTAAAATAAACAAGTCAATATCTGCTACTGATAAGTCTTCTTGGTTAAAACTAACTTAAGTGGGAAGAAAGGCATAAATAGATTGTAACTTGAAGAAGGAAAAGGTGGAAGACAGCAAGTCTCTTGAACACCTCCAACAAGCTATCCGCAACTATAAACTTCGAGAGTCAAAGACTGCAAGGAAATGTTCTCTTGGCCTGGCATACAGACTCTCATTACTCACTGGAGGCTGAGTACATCTCATCACAGGTAGTAAAGGAGCTTCATTAATGTATCTAGTTATTAGGCAGGATGGGCAAGGAGGTTTAAAATACTGGCATTAGGAAATGTATATAATCAGGAGTAGTGTTTCTTTCGGTTCGTTAGTGATCCCCTGTTCACCAAAGCTCCCACCCACACAAAGTCTAAAAATCAAAGGCGTTTTCCAGATTCCAGGGAAGCAGGAACAGGCAGCAGATCTAACTTTCCATGGATTCCAATTCACTTACACTACATTAACCAGTGTTCTCAACCCCAGGTCGGGGTACTTATCAGCAAATGTCTTCGGGTCTTCGGTATATCACGAGGCAACGGCAAGGTGAGCCGGAGCAGCAGTGCTTTGGTTGGTTGCTGCTCCCCTCTGAATAGTCTCCGCTCACCACTCCTCGGTCCCTCACGTCACCGCGTCTGCATCTCTTTCCTTAGATGGACACCGCTCGCCATCAGGTTCCCAGGCCTCTCTGTCCCCCTGCCCTTCACAGCAGGATTCACACACCGTCTCACCCCCTCGTCTCGCACGCGCGTAGTACTCAGCCAGTCCAGCCGGCTTCTCACCACTGCTACCTCCGTCCCGGTCAGCATCGCCGCCAGCCACCCAACCTCCTATTCCCAAGTCTCTAGGGGTCCGGCCCCAGCTGCTCACCTGGTTCTCGCCCCGCAATCGTGGCCGGTCATCTGGCAGTCCATCGCCGTCGTCGCTGGCGGGGTCCTCGGGTCCCCCATATCCCAGGACGTGAGGGCAGCCGCGGAACGCGAAGTCTTCGAGCTCGCGCAGGAGGCGCTGCTGCTCCGCGGGCGCCCCGCGCACCACCTGGCGCAGGCGGAACTGCACTTGCGCGAAGTGCGAGGACAGCGCGAGCAGTGCCGAGTCCAGCCGTCGCCGCTCGGCCCGCAGACGCCTCAGCGTCCGGCCGGGCGAGTCCGGAGGGGAACCCGGGGCCGCGCCGGGCTCCTCAGCCGCCGCCTCTTCCGAGAACGCGGCCGTCCCAGGCGCGGCCTCCGCCACTGCCCCCACGGGGGCCCAGCGCACGGCCTCGCACGGTGGCAGCGACTCCTCTTCCTCCTCCTCTTCGTCCTTCGCCTTTGGACCAACAGCTGCCACCACCGTTACCGGCTCCGCAACCGCTTCGACGGCCGCCATCTTCCCGGAAACGCCGCCGCACGTCAGCCGCGCCCCCTCACTGCCATGGCAACGGCGCGCTGTCCGGGAAACTCGAAGGAGCTGATGGGCGGGGCTCTACGTCAAACAGTTCTCCGTCACGGCGGGGCGGGCCTTCCCAGGGGATTTAATTCGGGCCAATAATTTTTTATTGAGCGCGTACTGTGAATCAGACGCTGAATGCACTGAGCTTTGGAGAAACAGATGAATGAAAACAGGGCCAAGTCATTCAGTGTGCATCTAGTGTGGCCCTTGTCCTGGTTCCCCGCCGGTGGGTCGTCTGTTCCTAATCTGTACGTTTCTGGAGACACAGATGTGAAGGGCTGTCGGGATTATGCTCTTCCAGAGTCTCTCCGGAGTGCAGATCCCTTGGCTGTAGGGCCATGTTCCCCCTTCCTCTGAAGCCTTCCCCGACCATATAAGGAGAGCCAGCTGCTGGGGGCGTCCCCAGGATCTAAAGATAGCAGTCCCTGGCTCAGAGTCCAAGCACCACTGGGTAGTGGGGAGCCGCCATGGCAAGGTGAGTGTTAACTTTTCCTTGGAGATTCCTTGTCCCACATTTTCTGGGCTCTCTGGGTCTTGCGAGGTCCCATGGAAACTCCACATTCCAGGTCTCTGTAATTTTGGGGCTTAGGAATGTTCTCCGTAACCCTCTCCCTCACAACTCTAGCAGTCTGGATTCTCCCCAAGTTCACCCTCACTCCACACGTCTCCCCCACCCCCAACTCCCATCACTCCCCTTTCACCCCCTTCTGTCTCATTTAGCTCCACTATGACAGGGCCACAGCATAAAACGTCCCTAAATTTTCCCATCCTTCCGGCCTTTCCCAAATGCCCTCAGTCTTCCCTCTCCCACTCCTATGAAGCCCCACCGCAACTCCTCTGCAGGCAGCACGCCCGGACGCTGTGGTACGACAGGCCCAAGTACGTGTTCATGGAGTTTTGTGTTGAGGACAGCACCGATGTCCATGTACTCATCGAAGACCACCGTATTGTGTTCAGGTAACGGCACTCCTCTCTGAAGGTCCTGGTTTCCAGGAACCTGTCCCTTCACCTGATGCCCCCACGCTCAGCCTCTGGCATTTCCTCAGCTCCATTGTCTCCTCAGCTGCAAGAATGCGGATGGAGTGGAGTTGTACAATGAGATTGAATTCTATGCTAAGGTGAACTCCAAGGTAATTGTGGGGTGGGACAGTCATGTCTGGATGGAAAGACTGCCTGGAAAATAAACCTCACATCCTATGAATGAGGCTATCTATCTGGCAGGACTCCCAGGATAAGCGCTCTGGTCGCTCCATTACTTGCTTTGTGAGGAAATGGAAGGAGAAGGTGGCCTGGCCCCGACTCACCAAGGAGGATATCAAGGTAGGTGTGTGGAGCCTGCTCTTTCTCCTGTGCTATCTCTGCACCTGGGGACATTAGTCAGGGAATCACCCTTGGCTCCTTTCCCACCAACATTTAATCACTCAAAAGTCCTTTTTGACTTCCTAAATATTTCTTGAGCTTTTACTTCATCTTTTCCTAATTCAGGCCTCATCCATCACTGGGTGAGGCTCAGTGCATATTTTCAGCCCCACCCTCAATCCATCCTTTGTATTGCTCCCAGCATGGTCTAAAACATCCATTTGACCCTGTTACTCTTCCACCTAAGACCCTCCAGTGACTTCTTCCCCACTAAAAGTTGAAAATTGGCTATCTCCTGACTGATCTGGCTCTCGGATTTGTTTTCGTAGTCTTCACAGTATTTACAAATTATGTTGATTGGTGGTTGACATTTAGTTTTGATTAGTTGCTGACCTATAAAAATGTGGAGATTTCATGTAAAACTCCAGATTATCAGCTTTTCTTAGAAAATGGAGACCCTGATCACACTGGTCTAAATTTCCAAATGCCAGGGGTGCTTAGCTGGCTCGGTCGGTAGAACACGTGGCTCTTGATCTCAGGGCTGTGAGTTCAAGCCCTATGTGCAGAGATTACTTAAAAAAATAAATAAATTCTAGGGGCGCCTGGGTGGCTCAGTGGCTTAAGTCTCTGCCTTCACCTCAGGCCATGATCTCAGGGTCCTGGGATTGAGCCCCACATCGGGCTCTCTGCTCAGTGGAGAGCCTGCTTCCTTCTCTCTCTTTCTCTGCCTGCTTCTCTGCCTACTTGTGATCTCTGTCTGTCAAATAAATAAGTAAATAAATATTTAAAAAAAATAAAAATTAAAAAAATAAATTCTCAAATGACTTGAGATGGAGCTTTAAATGGAGCATGCGCACCACAGCACTTTAAGCCTTTTCGTTAGTTCCCTAACTCTTTTAGGCATTTGATCTTTGGGTTGAAATCCAAACACTATAGCATGACATATAAGCTCATGACCTGGCTACTCTTTCCTTCTGTAGCATTATATCCCATTAGCCGTTGCCTTAAACTTCACATTCCAGCCGTAGCAAATGGCCTGCAGCTCAAGCTGTGTTTTCTTCCCAGAAAGCCTCATCGTCAGTACCTGTACCCACCCAACCCTGGCTCATCCTTTGAGTCTCTGCTACTCTAAGAAGCCTGGGTTCCTATAGCTCCTGTCTGGGTTTCCACAGTATCCCCTGTGTAAGCCCCCACCACACTTTCCACACTGTATTATAATGATTTATTTAAATTTCCCTTCCCCACTTGCTTCTTGATGGCTGGGGCTATATATCAAAAACATTTTAATAATCCCAGTGCCAAGCTCAGTCTGGCACATAGTATGTGTTCAATAAGTAGCTGTTAAATTAATGAGGAAGTAACTTCCTATCTAAGTGTAGGAACTTGGAACACAGGTCTCCAAGGGTTTTCTCCCGACTCCAGGCAATGCAGCTTGTCGGTCTTGCTTGGTTGACTCCTCGATACTTTATGACCCAGTTATCTTTCCAGATGTATTACTTACCTCTTTAGTCACTCGGCTTCTGGAGGGCGGAATTTCTATGCTTTTCTGTCCCCTACAATGCCTGGCCTTGTGTGTGGGACTTAGTAGTTTCCTGGCAAATCTTTGTGGATGATGAGGACGGCATTCCAGAGAGGGAGTAGTCCAAGAGGTGCTTTTGGGAAGACAGTGCCCTGCCTTGACCTTCTTTGCCCCACGCATGCTCCGTGCAGACGGCTATGCTCTTCCCCCACTTCTGCGCTTTCCCTATGACGCTCTGCGCTTTCCTCTTGCAGCCAGTGTGGTTGTCTGTGGACTTTGATAACTGGAGGGACTGGGAAGGGGATGAAGAGGTGGAGCTGGCTCAGGTGGAGCATTATGCAGAGGTAATACCGTCTCCTGCCCCTCCTGCTCATTCTCTGCGTCTCCCTGGGCCCATTTCTCTGGAGGACTGTCGTCAGGGCTAGACAGACATACGCGAACTCCCCTCATTGGTGCTCATATTCTTTACATGTTGTGGGCAATGTTTATTCAGTAGGATGAGAGAAAGGAGTACTAGTGAGACCACATATATGCGTTCGCTCACTAGTTACTAGTTACTAGTTCACTCACTAGTTACTAGTTATTAGTTACTTAGAGAAAGTTTGGCAAAACCTTTCCCAACTCTTCTGTAACTCTTGTTCTCTCTTCTGTTTTCTCTGTGTATGTGTGTTTTCTGAGCTGCACAACTTCATGGGAAGCTCAGACTAGGCAGTATAAAAATTCACATCATAAAACAAATTACTAGTTTCCCATTAAGTTGCACTCTGCCATACATTATTTGGTTTTAGAATTTCAGCTACTGTTTATTCAAGTTGCAGAAACACTGACAGACCCTAACGTGGATTAGTAAGGAGGATGCTCTGTGTGTGTCGATTTCCTTTTATTTTATTTATTTTTTTTAAGATTTTATTTATTTATTTGACAAACAGCAATCACAAGTAGACAGAGAGGCAGACAGAGAGAGAGGGGGAAGCAGGCTCCCTGCCGAGCAGAGAGCCCGACGTGGGGCTCGATCCCAGGACCCCGGGATCATGACCCGAGCCAAAGGCAGAGGCTTTAACCCACTGAGCCACCCAGGCACCCCTCGATTTCCTTTTAACAAGGGGATCGGGGCTCCTGGCTGGCTCAGTTGGTGGAACGTACATCAGCTCTTGATCTCAGGACTGTTTGAGCTTCATATCAGGTGTTACATAAAAATAAAATGTTAGGGGCGCCTGAGTGGCTCAGAGAGTTAAGCCTCTGCCTTCAGTTCAGGTCATGATCTCAGGTCCTGGGTCCTGGGATTGAGCCCCGCATCAGGCTCTCTGCTCAGCGGGGAGCCTGCTTCCCCTCCCCCCCACCTCTGCTTGCCTCCCTGCCTACTTGTAGTCTCTGTCAAATAAATAAATAAAATCTTTTAAAAATACAATAAAATGTTAAATAAAAATAAATGAAAAGGGGATCTATTTACTTTTCTCCAGTTTGTTCTGGTGATGTGTTAGGGGCTGGAAAGATGGGGCAGTTTTTTGACTGGGAGATTCTCCTGCGGCCCATCAGCGTACAGGTTGCTCTCCCCCTGCCCTTCTTTTCTCTCGTAATTGCTTTCCTCTTTCCACTAGCTTTTGAAGAAGGTCAGCACCAAGAGACCTCCCCCTGGCATGGATGACCTGGATGTAAGTAAAGCCTGCCTCTCGACCCTTCAGTTTCCTTTTAATGCTAAAAAATGAGATACTAGAAAGCTCTTGTCCTGTTCTCTAGCACACAGTAGATCTCAGTGCATGGCAGCCAAGTTTGAATTTGACACAGGAGGTTGAATGTTCTTCTCCAGGCTGTAGAAAACCCCAACAAAGCAAGACCCTCCACCCTCCCGTCTCCCTTTTGCTTCTCTATCCTAGAGCCGACCTGGCCCTCTGGACTGTCTTTATAGCTGTCGGGAGCAGTGACATGAATTGGAATTCTGAAACCAAATGATGCTTGACACAGCACTGTTTACTGAACACCAGGGGTTGATTTTATTTTCCAAAGTATAAACCCTTCCGTATTAGCCTGCCAGGAAGTTGTGTGATTTAGAAAATCACAAAATAAAACTTGGAGAGCAGGAAGGAGTGAGAAGAGTTGATGAACACAAATGCTCATGCTTTGCAGATTCTACAGGTGCTTTTGTCTTTTTTTTTTCTTTCCCTAGGATGATTCTGACAGTGCTGATGCAACAAGTAATTAACTTCTCTGCAGCAGAGCTGGGAAGGAAGCTTGGGGCGCCTTCCTTCTTTAAAAAATTAATTTGAAAGATAACGCATATGATTGAGCGGGGGAAGGGGCAGAGGGAGAGGAGAGAGAATTTCAACAGACTCCCTGCTGAGCCCAGAGCCTGATGTGGGGCTCGATCCCAAGGACTCTGAGATCTTGACCTGAGCTGAAATCAAGAGTCGGCCACTTTACCGACTGAGCCACCCAGGCACCCCTTTCGTGAAGCTCTTTTTAAGGGTCCTCTTCATGTATTATTTCTTCTTCCTGGCACTTGAGTATGGCTGCATAGGATGGCAGGATAGGAGAGGAGTAGGCTGTTGGAGCTCCTGACTTTCTACCAATTACCTGTAATCTTTGTGTTTGGACCAGTCATCAGGTCTCTGTTGAGTATTCGAGCATGTGTATATACTTGGTAGAGCAAAAGCCAAAGAAGCAGCAGGTAGATTATAATAAATCTGTAAGAACTGTTTTCTGTCTCTTTTCTTCTTGCACTTGTTCTACCTGGAGGCAGATCTCTTCTACCTCTATTGTTCCTCTAGAGGGGAAGGGTGGTGTCACAGATCCTGGTCCTCACTGTTGAGTTTGGAAGCAGAAGGATGTTGGGAGCAGGCTTGTAACCAAACTGGGGAACTCTCCCATGCCCAGGTCAGTGCTCCTGTTTCTCAGACCATAACCAGCCCTTGCTATATTGCTACCCCTAGAACCATGTACCTACTGCCACCCCTAGAACTAGCCAGAAACCCACCTCAGCTTTCTGCATACTCCAGAAATTCTTATACTTTCAAAGCTGATTGTTACATTAGTTAATGCCTATATGTCTACTCTTCTGTTCATCAGCTACCTCATTCATCCATAAACATTTCTTGAGTGCATAATGTATACTTAAAAAAATGCCATACCCAGACTTTGCCCTTGAACTCATAGTAAAGTACTAAGATTTCTTTAAAAAAATTGAACTTTATAGGGTTTATATTGCTAATATATAGACATAGTTTAATGGCAGCCAGGTATAGAAGGGCATAAAATTTATTTATTAAAGATTTTTAAAGCGATTTTATTTATTTATTTGAGAGAGAGAGAGCCAGCGAGCTCACATGAATGGGATGGAGGCAGAGGGAGAGGAAGAGGCAGATTCCCTGCTGAGCAGGGAGCCCGACATGGGGCTCAATCTCAGGACCCCAAGATCATGACCCAAGTGGAACTGACTCAGGCCAACCGACTGAGCCTTCCACTTCAGGGCCTGGGTGCCCTGAAGGGTATAAAATGTAAAGTAGAATTTGTACTCCCTCAGTAGGGGTAGGCACTTTTTTTTTTTTTTAAGATTTTATTTATTTGAGAGAGAGAGAGAGAGACTGAGAGAGACAGAGCACAAGCAGGGCAGGGGGAGAGGGTCAAGCAGACTCCCCGCTGAGCAAGGACCCTCCCCCCAACATGGGGCTCGATCCCAGTATTTTGGGATCATGACTTGAGCCAAAGGCAGATGCCTAACCAATTGAGGCACCCAGGTGTCCCAATGTAACCAGAGTTAACAGTTTCTAATTGTTTTATTTTTTTAAGGTTTTATTTATTTGACAGAGAGATCACAAGTAGGCAGAGAAGCAGGCAGAAAGAGAGAGGGGGAAGCAGGCTCCCCGCTGAGCAGAGACACCCCCCCCCCCATGTGGGACTTGATCCCAGGGCCCTGAGATCATGACCTGAGCTGAAGGCAGAGGCTTAACTGACTGAGCCATATAGACATATAGACATATAAGCCAAAGCAGTGTGTCTACATAATTAGAATCATACTATGCACATCTTGAGCCCTGTTTTTTGTACTTAATATACATTGGGACTCTTTCCAAATTAATATATACAGATCTACCTCTTTTGCATGGCTACATGGTATTCAATTGAGTATATTGTCCATAATTTAGCTGATTCCTTATTGAGGGACATTTAAGTTGTTGTTGGTCTTTTTCAGTTTTCAAACAATGCTGTAATGAACGTTTAAAAATATGTATATTTACATATCTGGAAAGAATATCTGTAAAGTAGATTTCTAGAAGTGGAATTGCCATGTCAAAGAATAGATACATTTATTTATTTATTTTTAAAAATATTTTATTTATTTATTTATTTATTTATTTATTTGACAGCGATCACAAGTAGGCAGGCAGGCAGAGAGAGAAGGGGAAGCAGGCTCCCTGCTGAGCAGAGAGCCCAATGCAGGGCTTAATCCCCGTGTTATGCCCCAATACTGGGTCCGTGATTAAAGGAGCGAGACTGATACAAAGCGAAGGTCAGGCAAAGCTTTATTTCGCGCCAAGTATCAAGAATCAGACCAACCGTCAAACAGACCGGTCGGAGCCGCCCCTTACAGAGAGGACGACTCCTCCCTGCTTTCCAGACTAACTTTTATAGAGCAAAGGCCATGTGGTTGGGCCTGGCCATACACAGGTGGCTAATTGAATTACAACTCACCCCACAGTAGCCATAGAAACTAGCCCATCACCTTGGTAGCTAGGAGACAGTATGCGCCCCCACTGATTGGATGTCTCCACCTGGCCTGACCCACCCTTGTATTTGAGCTTTGTTACCTGAGGCTGGTTTCTGGGACGTAAGTAAATCCCCTGGGAGAAGGGGAGCAGGGACAGTTTAAGGGTTAAAAAACAATGTTATTGTTTAACCTCAATGGAAGCCTCTGGCTAAAGTATAAAAATACAAACTAGGTCCTTACACCCAGGACCCTGAGATCATGACTTTAGCCGAAGGCAGAAGCTTTAACCCACTGAGCCACCCAGGCGCCCAAGAGTAGGTACATTTAAACATTTTGATAGCTGTTGCTAAGTTGCTCTTAGATGAAATTGAACAGCTTCCTGCTCCCACCAAGTGCAGCATTCTCCAAAACCTTTTAGATATTTGTGAAGGTAAAAAGGTATACCTGATTTAACAAGGTGTTCATTTTTATTTTTATTAGTAATTGGTATTTCTTTTAAGGAGCTCTGTCTATATGTTTGCCCATTTTACTGTTGACATTAAAAAAATCTGATATACAAAGTTATATTTGTATCATGCTTTACAATTTACTAAGTCTATATATTATCTCATTAAAATTTTTTGAACCTCAAATCAACCTTATAATTAGGTCTTTTCTTCATAGGTGATTGAACAGGTCATAATAAGTGGCAGAATTGGGACTTGAGCTTGTATAGCATGTGTCCCTCCTCTTACCCACAATTCTGAAAACCAAAAAGTTCTGAAAACCCACTTAAAAAAAAAAAAACAAAAACCCTGACAGCAAAACTCATTTGGCAGCAAAACCTAATCTAAAAAGACGTGCTACTTATAGTATTTGTTTATTTTGTGTAGTGCATTTATTTCTCAGCATAAATGTGTTTGATGACATGATGTTGTTCGAGTGTGTTACATAACAGATGGGGTATGCTCAGCATTACTACCTAAAATCCTAAAAGTCCTAAATTTTGAAACACCTGGAGTCTTCAGACTTTATTATTGGCTGATTCAAGAGAGCAGGAAGTTAATTTTAACATTAATCCGTTTAACGTTTTAAGGTACTGATTACAGTTTGTAACTTGCGTTAGCCCTGCTTATCTACACTCTCCAGTTAGGTAGGACTGGTGACCTGTAGTTACTGAGTGCGTGTGATTATTGAGCACTGAGATGTGGCCACTGCACGCTGAGATGTGCTTTAAGTGCAAAATACACATCAGCTTTCGAAAATTTTGTGCGGAAAAAATCTCACTCATTTTTGCATTCGTTATCACACATTGACATAATATTCTGGATCTGCAGCTTTCAATACAACATTAGCATATGGGGCTTGCACTAATTTCTATTGGGCAGCCCTGCCGTCTATCCAATTCGGTACCACCCAGCCGAGAATGAGCGGGGCTAAACTGAGTGCTTTGACAAGTTCAGGTAGCGTGTAGTTTTGTTTTATTTGGTCTTCTGGTCCTTTCCAAAGTCTTCGCACAGTTGGTAGGCACCCCAGAACACTTGCAAATCGCAAATGGCGTTTGCAGTAAATTTGTCCAAGCCACACCCCGTCCTTTGCCCTCTTGCTTCTGCGCAGAGGAGACGCGCCCGCAGTGAAGATTGTCCCACGCGGCTCTCCGTCGTCCCGCCGGCGTTCCAGTGTGTGCAATTTCCCGCGTCCCGGGAGACGGTGGCGATGGCGTTCCGGTGTCAGCGGGACAGCTACGCCCGCGAGGTACGGCTGGCTGGGCGAGGGCGCGTGGGGCGGTGCGGGAGGAGGGCGCCGCATGGAGCAGGGTACTGAGGGAGACTTAGTCCCGGTGGCCTGAGGGCTGGGGTCGGGCTTATTTTCTGTCCCTCTATGTGCAGTTCACCACCACCGTGGTCTCCTGCAGCCCCGCCGAGCTGCAGACCGAAGGAAGCAACGGCAAGAAAGAAGTGTTGAGTGGCTTCCATGTGGTGCTGGAAGACACGCTGCTTTTCCCCGAGGGCGGGGGACAGGTACCAGCCCCGCGCCTCACCGCGATCCCCTCCCAGGAAGCCCCACATTCCTTTCTGCTCAGGTGGGAAACTCCCTCCTGCCCCTCTTCCACAGCCGTGATACAGATCGAAGTTCGTTCAGTTCCGGTCATTTGTTCACCCAACAGATATTTGTTGGGCTGTAACGTATGCTGTGTGCTTATTTCAGGGACTAAGGATAAGGAGTGAACAAGGTAGCATCTGTACATATGTAGAATACTTATCGGAGAAGACAAACGAAGTGGTAAATAGATAAAATAGAATGCCCGGTATAGTAAGTGCTATAAAGAAAATTAAAGCTTGAGGGAAAGACAGTGCTGGGATGTTCTCCTAGGTAGGGGGCAAGTTATTTCATAGACCTAAGTGAAGTGAGGGGCAAGTATATCCAGGCAGCAAGAATAGCAAGTGCAAAGGAACTAGGCATTAGCTTAGGATGTGTGCCAGGGACTGGAAAAGATTCCCCCAAGGGAGCACGGCAGAAGATGGATTTATCGGTGCTGTGATGGGGTAGGAACAAGGTCCAGTGTGAACACGGGAAAGGGGGGTAATAGCAGCAAAAAGGTGGGCATTATGGAAGAGGCTTTTCCAGCAGGAATACAGCACAGACAAAGGCAAGGAAGCCCGAAGGAATCTGACATGTGTAGCTAATTGCATCGTTGAGTGTAGTTGGATCCTGTGGTGGGTATTGATGGCAGACTGGAGATGACCTTGGGAAGGTAAATTGGAGCCAGTTCAGAGGGACTTGAAGGATGTATTAAGGTGTGTGGACTTAATTCGAGAAGCTGTGGTGAGGGGTGCCTGGGTGGCACAGTCCGTTAAGCATTCGACTCTTGGTTTTGGCTCAGGTCATAATCTCAGTGTCGTGGGATTGAGCCCTGCATTGGGCTCTGCGCTCAGCACGGAGTCTGAGATTCTCTCTGCCTCTCCTACTCCTGCTCTTGCTCTCTCAAATAAAAAAAATAAATCTTAAAAAAAAAAAGACGCTCTGGTGAGCCATGGAGGTACTTATGCAAAGAAATGACACAAGAGAACATGTTTAGTAAACTTGATAGAAAGTTCTGATGTCGCATGGGTGTTATCATTATTTTTTTTTTTAAGATTTTATTTATTTGACAGATCACAAACAGGCAGAGAGGCAGGCAGAGAGAGAGGAGGAAGCAGGCTTCCTGCTAAGCAGAGAACCTGAAGTGGGGCTCGATCCCAGGACCCCGGGATCATGACCTGAGCCGAAGGCAGAGGCTTTAACCCACTGAGCCACCCAGGTGCCCCTGGGTGTTATCATTATTATAGGGATTTTCTGCTGAAGGAAGACCTGTGACCTCAGGCAACTATAGGAGGACTCACTTTATACATCATTTCTTTCAGGAAGTCTTCCCTAATTCCTTGAGACTATTAGGTCTCTTTCTTCTGAGCTCTAGAACAGTGTACTTTTTACACTGTGACTTGTCGTGGATCATATTGCAATGACCTGGGCGTATGTCTGTTCTTTTCTAGACTCTGAAGTTCCATGAGGGGCCTGGTCTGGTTTACATTGTATTCTTGGTAGCAGTGTCTTATAAGCAATTGGCACTAGATACCTTTTTTCTTTTTTTAAAATGAATGACTGTTTTTATTTTTTTTTTTAAAGTAAACTCTATGTGCCTCATGGGGCTCAAACTCAGACCCCAAGATCAAGAGGCATGGGTTCCACTGACTGAGCCAGCCAGGCGTCCCTGAAATGAGTGAATGTTTTTGAATCTAATTCTATTAGTAGTGCCAAGGATGGAGTGGAGGGAGGGAGGAAAATTCAAACAATTTTAGAAACTATTGAAGAATAAGAATCTAAATTAAGACAGTGAGAATGATGATTAAGATTCTTCGGATTTTACTAAAATCTTCATTGCTGTAGTTAATAATCTTTGTTTCAATTCTGTTATTTTGTTCTGAAGAACAATATGTATGGGTGTTCAGGGTAAAGAGAACAGAGTCTCTCATGGAACAAAGTGGACCACCTCACTTGCCATTGCCTCTTCTCCTTTAGGGAATCTCAAAGTCTGGGAGTGTTTCTTACACACTTTGCCTAGAGGATGTTTGTATCCAGGAGTTAAGGTGATATCTGCTTCCCGCCATTGATTAGCTTTATGTCTTTCCCCAGCCTGATGACCGCGGTACAATCAATGACATATCTGTGCTACGAGTGACCCGCCGGGGGGCCCAGGCTGATCATTTCACACAGACGCCGCTGGCCCCCGGGACTGAGGTCCAGGTCCGGGTGGACTGGGAGCGGAGGTTTGACCACATGCAACAGCATTCAGGTAGGTGGGGTGGCGTGGGGCAGGAGGGCCGGTTGCCATGCGTGGTGATGCCGTGATGATTGAGATTTGATTTGGGTTCTCTAGGAGGTAACCTTTTGTAAAGGACAGACACTCAGAATCAGCTCCCATTCAGGCAGGATATAAGTGGTATAAAAACAACATGAACAGGGGCAGACAGAGAGCAAGCAGGGGGAGGAGCAGGCAGAGGGAGAAGCAGGTCCCTGGGATCATGACCTGAAGCAGACCCTTAACAGACTGAGCCACCCAGGTGCCCCGTCATGAGGATTTTCATATTTATTTATTCATTTGTTAATTATTTTTAGAGATCGTGCAGGAGGGAGAGAGAAAGAATCTTAAGCAGACTCCATGTACAGTGGAGCCTGGTGTGGGGCTCGATCCCATAACTCTGAGATCATGACCTGAGCGGAGATCAAGAGTCGGGTGTTTAACTGACTGAGCCAGCCAGGTGTCCCCTCTTGAGGATTTTCAGTGAAGTATCTGTCAAGAGTATGAGCTGGCGCTCGGCACGTCTTCAGCCGGAAGTGTCTGTGATGATACCGTGGGGATATGTGGCCGGCTACACGGCTCACTGGTCCATGTCTCTCGCTCTTTCTGTTCAGGGCAGCATCTCATCACAGCCGTTGCTGACCATCTCTTTGGGTTGAAGACCACATCATGGTGAGTAGGGGGCAGAAGACTAACCATAGGTCACAGGTCCCCAGCTGCCAGCTCCTTTCCCAGTAATGGGTTAGTGGGTAAGGGGAGAAAAGAAAACGTAGTGTTCACAGTCTGCTGTGTTCACCTCTTCCCCTTACATAGGGTAGCTGGTGACCTTGTGTGTCTCAGGGGACATGCTTGTATGGGAGGAGGAAAGAACATGGAGTTGGGAGCCCAGAGACCTAGGGGGTGAATTTTGGCTACACGATCTTGCTTACATTCCTTCTTAGCCCTCGCCTGTGAAAAGGAAATGACAGTCTCTACCTTGCCGGTTCTTGTGAGCATTAAATAAGATAATTTATACAAACCTTGTCCGGAAACCGTCTTATGTTATTGTGGTCGTCCTCAGCATCCGGTGATCACCCACTTCTTCTGGCAGGGAGTTAGGGCGGGTCCGGAGTGTGATTGAACTGGACAGCCCCTCTGTGACTGCGGAGCAGGCGGCTGCCATCGAGCAGAGCGTCAATGAAAAAATCAGGGCCCGGCTGCCTGTGAACGTGCGAGAGCTGAGCCTGGATGACCCGGAGGTGGAGCAGGTGAGGGAGAGCCGATCGGGCAGCGTCTGTAGAACGGCCCTCCGAGGGCCCCTCCTCAGAAGTCAGACACCCCTTCTCCCTCCGTGTTCCAGGTGAGGGGCCGGGGTTTGCCGGACGATCATGCCGGACCCGTTCGAGTTGTTACCATCGAGAGTGTTGATGCCAACATGTGCTGTGGGACCCATGTCAGCAATCTCAGTGACCTTCAGGTAGGTGAGGAAGGGCTCCTGAGTGGGAGGGAGGGTGTTAGGGAAGTGGGGATCACGACTAGCTGGGAGTGATCGAGGGGGACAGTGGAGGAGGCTTCGGTGAAGTCACTCCTTTCTTGCTTCTGAGCTGGGGGCAGGTGTAGGGAGCTCCTACCCTGAGGTCTCACGCCCACTGTGGTTCATGCATGTGCGCATGCTCCCACCCTTGCCTCATGTAGGTCATTAAAATCCTGGGCACCGAGAAAGGGAAAAAGAACAAGACCAACCTGGCGTTTCTGGCCGGGAACCGGGTGCTGAAGTGGATGGAGAGAAGCCACGGAAGTGAAAAAGCATTGACTGCGCTGCTGAAGTACGGTCCCTGCCCCCTGCCCCCTAGCCCCCTGCCCCTCCTCCCTGCCTCCTGCCCTGGCTCCCTGCCCCTGCCTCCTGCTCCTTGCCCCTGCCCTGTCCCCATGTCTGAGGTCCTGTATGCCCCAAGCTCAGCTCTCCTACCGGTCGGGAAGACCATAATCTCTGATCACAGTGGGGTGAGATGCAGTCATAAGTGATCAAGCACTTGGGACAGTGAGTCAGACCCACACAAAATGGCTTGTTCCTTTATATTTTCTTTCTCAGTTGCTTAGGAACGTCCCCAGGTCCCCATCTGGAGGGAGGTGCACTGTCAAGAAGGGCCTCATGGATTTACGCCTCGCACCACAAGTCTTTTGGAAAGCTGGGCGGGTGACCAGGCGCCTTTCCCTTGCAGGTGTGGAGCGGAGGATCATGTGGAAGCCGTGAAGAAGCTACAGAACTCGACTAAGCTCTTACAAAAGGTGACTTACTCCTCAGAGGGTGCAGAGGGCAGCGGCTCTGCCTGGAGTAGGCTCCCCAGGCCTGAGCCCTCGGCCCAGCCGGCTGTGGGGCTTGGCAGAGCGGGAGGGAGGGGAGAGCCAAGTGGCGGGAAGATGGTGAACTTGCCTGTTAATCCTTCTATCCGCTGAGTGATGGCATCCGTTTCAGACCAACCTGAATCTGCTCCGAGACCTGGCCGTGCATGTGGCCCACCGTCTCCGGAACAGCCTGAACTGGGGCGGTGTGGTCACATTACACAGGTGAGAGACAAGGCATGGGAGCGCTGGGCTCGCGGCTCAGCCTCTCCCCTGTGCCGTGCATCATGGGACGTGGGTTGCGCACTGGCTTCTCCAGACTGAGCAGACCCTAGGAGATGCGTTACCTTCCAGTATACCTTTACGCTCCAGACATCCTGGGTTCGATAAGAGCATCTTCCCGGCAGTGCTGTGACTGTAACTTTCACCACCAGGTTCCCTCACCCCCCTCACCGTCTACCAGCTCTCTCCTTCGCTGGGTGATCTGGTTTGAGAGAGGCACACACAAGTGCAAAGCAAGCTGTGAGCTGCTGAGAAGGCCTTGTTGCTGGCCGCCAGCCGCACTCTCAGCCCTCGCTAAGGGAGTCGGGGACTTTGCACAGACAGCAGCAAGGCCAGCCTTGTGAGGAGGAACGGGGCTCCGTGCGATTTCCCAGCTCCCGCTCCAAGCTGGCTGTCATGTCTGTGTCCTTTGTTTTAGGAAGGAGGGTGATTCTGAGTTCATGAATATCATCGCCAATGAGATTGGGTCAGAGGTAAGAGGAGCGTGGGATTCTCTGTCTGTCCTGAGTGGAGACCGAAGAGAGGGACATTAGTTTAAGTCCTTCACATGAACACATAAAGGGCAGGGAATAGAAGTTCATTTGGTACTAGTTTTTGTATTTGTTTTTAGCTTTTTAGCACTAGTTAAAGCCAAGCTCTGTTTTAGGTGCTGAGTTGGATCTAGGATATTGACCTTTCTGGGGCTGCGACAGTTACCAGCTTCTGAGTTCCTCTTACCAGAGCTGGAACTCCTCCAAGCCACACAGATGGACGTGTGTCCAAGGCCTGGTTTTAGAAGTAATGGGGCTGGTGAGGCCCTTTGAGGGCCGTCCGTTCCATTTTCCTTTGCCTCTGGCTTCAAGGGCCCCTGTCCATCCTGATAGTCACAACTTCGTGATTTCCCAGTCTCTCTCTCTCTCTCTCTCTTTTTTTTAAAGATTTTATTTATTTATTTGACAGAGATCACAAGTAGGCAGAGAGGCAGGCAGAGAGAGAGGGGGGAAACAGACTCCCCACTGAGCAGAGAGCCGGATGTGTGGGTCGATCCCACAACCCCGAGATCATGAGCTGAGCTAAAGGCAGCTGCTTAACCCAGTGAGCTACCCAGGCGCCCCTCCTAGTCTCTCTTTTACATTTACTCCAAAAAACCCCACTTTTTGGGGTCCCTGCTCCAGGCCAAACAGTATGTATATTTCTTTTCATAATTCCATGTAGAGTGTACTGATTCTCAGGGACCTCACTCTGGAGTCTGGGAGGCAAACGTATATGTCCACATACTGAGGGTGGTCAGTGCTAGGGGTGGAGGAGCAGGTCACTTGAAAGAGTGGGGAGGCCCCAGGGCAGGGGGCCAGAGGACTGCTTAGTAGTCCTTAGACAGGGAGCAAAGGCCACCAGGCAGAGGGAAATAGGGAGCTTTAGTCAGTGGCAGGCACGGGGTGCATGGGGGAAGGCGGTGGCCAGGTTGCAGGGGTAGGTGGGAGTCAGGTCACAAAAGGCATTTAGCACCTGGCCGTGGTCAGCAGCCTTCTGCCTCCCCCAGCTTCTTGATGTTTAATCCAAGTTCCCATAGTCATTCTTGAAGTTTCTTGGCCCTGGTGGGCCAGAGTACAGGGGCTGCATTATCACTCACCAGAACATCCCTCATGGTTCAGGGGCAAAAATGTGATCTTGACTGAGGAGAGGGCAGGGTTTAGGGGGATTGACCCCACTTTCTTAGGTATCAAGGCTATCTCATTATCTTACCTCGTAGGAGACCCTCCTGTTCTTAACTGTGGGCGATGAGAAAGGCTCTGGGCTCTTCTTACTGGCAGGGCCAGCTGAGGCCGTGGAGACGCTGGGCCCCAGGTAATCTGTGGACTGCCTGCACTGACCGGTAGGGGTGGCCTTTGCCCGACGGAAAGCACCACCAACCCTGTGATCGCATTTTGATTCACATCGTGGGCATGGGAGGTGGGCCGAGTGGGAATAAGTGCCCCTGCCATCATTCCTAATTTTGCAGGTAAGGGACAGCATGTCCTGTGTGGCAGAACTAAGACTCAGACTTGGGTCTTTTTAAGATTTTATTTATTTATTTGACAAAGAGGTAGAGAGCACAAGTAGGCAGAGAGGCAGGGAGAGGGGGAAGCAGGCTCCCTGCTGAGCAGGGAGCCCGACACGGGGCTCCATTCAGCACCCTGAGATCATGACCTGAGCCGAAGGCAGAGGCTTAACCCACTGAGCCAACCCGGCGCCCCAAAATTAGGGTTTTAAGATGAAATAAAAATAGGCATTGATCTAGTTGTTGTGGAAAAATTAGAACTTTGTTGGATTTCTGTACCTTCGTACTGTTTAAATTAGATACAGAGGTGTAGTACCCCACACTCTGTCTGGTGTTGAGGGTTTTCCAAGTCCCAATTGGCTATGGTGAATATATGTTCAAAGGAGAACATAAGAATGTATGTCTCTCTCCCTATTTATTTATAATATTTTACTTGAGAGAAAAGTAGAAGACGAGCAAGGAGGGGAGGAGCAGAGGGACGGGGAGAAGCAGGTACCACTGAGCAGGGACCCTGGCATGGGCTCGATCCCAGAACCCTGAGATCATGACCTGAGCTGAAGGCAGTTGCTTAACCGACTGAGCCATCTGGGCACCCCAGGAAAAGGTCAGAATTTAAAGCACAGGTCCCTGGCAGGCAGCCAGATGTGGCCTGTAGACTGGTTTGGCCTGTGTACTATTTTAAATGTTCAAAACCAATTATTTCATTTTTAAATTGGATTTGTATATAAAAACACAGAGTTCTAGCTTTTCTCAGAAATGACAAGAAGGCCCACTCTGGTGACACTGGGCCTACATCCCCACGTGGCAGTAGCTACAAGGAAGGGGGTGGTGGTGCCCTCTTTAGATAGGACAGGCTCGACCACTGCTGCAGTCCTCCCTTCTCCGCACCCCCAGCTGCTGCACTGCTGCGTTTGTGTCCGCAGCCCCTTACCTCTGGTGGACACTCGCCTTGCTCTCTGGAGGTTCCTGTAATTAATCTAGCACACCCCCAACCCGTTTCTAGATACTTCCATTGTGTTTTTTTTAATACCTGGAACAAGTACTAGTTCATTTTTTGTTCCCCCAGTTACTCACTCTTACAGTAAACATCATACCTCTGTATCTGTGCACACATGCAAGTGTTTTTAAGAAGGATTTCTAGAAGTGTCTGCTCTTCCTTTCCCTCTCCTTGGCCCTGGGAGAAAGACTTGGGGCCGCCTTTGGTTTTTCTGTGGCTTTTCCCTCAAAGACGTCCTCCCTGACTGTGTCTCTGCTCCCCAGGGTGGCTGAGGTTCTGGAGGGCAAAGGAGCTGGGAAGAAAGGCCGCTTCCAAGGCAAGGCCACCAGGATGAGCCGGCGGGGAGAGGTGCAGGCCCTCCTCCAGGACTATATCAGCACTCAGAGCGCAGAGGAGTGAGGACTTGGTCCCTGGGGCTCCTGCCATTGAGAACGGGCCTCCTGTGACCACAGAAAGAGTCTCTGGACAATAAAATAGTTTGACTTGAAATGGTCGTGGTACCACATGCATCACATGCATATGACTGGTGTATGCAGTATTCTGTGCGGTGTGTATGCAGTGAGTATCTTTAAATAAGCAGCTTTCTCATTGGGCCCCTGTTAGGCATAACCTCCAGCAGGGAGCATTATGGGGATGAAGGGTACTGATTTCTCTAAAGCAGCTGCAACTTTTCTTCCTGTGGAAACGTAACCACCCGAGGGGAGGGCCAGCCAGTCTGGAGGCTCCACTGAGGGCTTCATTCAGATCTCCTTGTTTTGTTGTCCGTATTTTCCTAGTTCTGTGCTTGAGAACTAAAAAGCATCAGTGACTTTGCAAATAGGTCAAGAGGCCCTAGAAATACAGGAGAAGGAGGCTCCATGCCTGCTACTGTGGCGGAGAAGAGGCGGAGAAAGGACGGAGAGAGGTGTGGAAGATCGACCCAAAGAGAGCTGGTGTCAGACCAGTGAGCCTTTAGAGTCATCGTGAGAGCTCAGGAGCGGCCTGTAAAGATCAGAGGGAGACAAATTAGTTCTAGATTTGTGTGCATCTAACAACAGCCTCAGAATACATAAAGCAGAAATTGACCCCTGAAGAAGGAGCATGAATTCACACTCGGTGGAGGATTTAAACTGATCTTTGAGTAACTGATGGGAGAAGAGGAAGCATGACCTCGAGGTTAAGAGCATAGACGTTGGGGTTTCATAGACCTGAGTGGAAATCCTGGCTCTGTGCACCCATGGGTGGTAAAACTAGAAAAGAAAGCAAAGAGTTGATTCATTTTAAAAGGACGGCATTTACCTCTGGGGGAAGGGCAGGAAACGGGATGGAGAAGGGACCCAAGACAGGTGGGAGGGGGGTTTCTGGGGTGCCGGCGGTGTTCTGTGTCCTTGAACTTGGAATTTACATAGCTTTTGGCTTTACACTTACTCATTATACTGTTTTATTCCACAACGTTCTTTCACCATCTAGGAATACAACAACAACAACAAAAAATCTGGGTTCTGTCACTTGTTTGCCTTGGGAACGTGTTTTTGTTTTTTCAGCCTTCAGTTTGGTCCCCAGCAAAGTGGCCATCATGGTAGCACTTAAATGCTCACGGGTGTGGTGGAGTAACACATTCAGCTGTGTGGGGGAACCACTTTGTTCCCTGAGATGACCTGAGAACACTTAATTTTTGATTGCCTAGATGTTTTGTTCCTCTTTACCTGTAAACTGAGTGTTGATTGTAAGTACACTGGGCCCCTGGGTTGATACAGCTCTGGTGGGGAATCATTTTCCCTCAGGTCAAGGCCCCCTGAGGAGAGCTGACAGGGTCCACTTGGTCTTCTCCCAAAGAGAAGGAAGCCGAGATGGCTCTCTGGTAAACTCAAAAGTCACAAGGCAGAATACTTGTCAGGACAGGAGTCCGGTCTGAGGACTTCAGCCAGTTAGCAGGCGGGTTAGAGCCCGCCTGCATGGGTGGAGGTGGGGCAGAAGGATGGGGAATTTGAGTTTCTGAGGCAAAATTTAGGCATTGACACTGCATCAGTAGGTTGCCTTGGAGTATGGAAGGTATCCTCAAGAGATTTTTTTTTTAAATTTTTTAAAAGATTTTAAAGAGGTTTTTTTTTTTAAAGATTTTACTTTTAAGTAATCTCTACACCCAATGTGGGGCTTGAACTCACAACCCTGAGATCAAGAGTTATGTGCTCTACCAACTGATCCAGCCAGGGCCCCAAGAAATTTTTTTTTTTTAAAGATTTTATTTATTCATTTGACAGAGATCACAAGTAGACAAGCAGGGAGAGAGGAGGGAACAGGCTCCCTGCTGAGCAGAGAGCCCAATGCGGGGCTCGATGCAGGGCTCGATCCCAGGACCCTGGGATCACGACCTGAGCCGAAGGCAGAGGCTTTAACCCACTTGAGCCACCCAGGCGCCCCCCAAAGAGTTTTTTTAAATGTATTTTTAGTCTTCCTCCAACCCTGCCCCCGACTCACCCTATTTCCCTTGCCACAGACAACCACTGTTACCAATCTCTGATGTATCCTCTGGTGGTATTTTTTCACAGCTGTGCACAAATCATCTCTCTTTTGAAACATGGCAGCACAGACCTTGGCAACTTGCTTTTCTCAGTTAAATGAGTGCCATGTTTTCAGAGAAAATTATGGTATAAAGGTCATGCAGTACAAAATGGATTTATTGGTGGGAGATGGGGATGTAATATTCACCTGACAGAAGATTCCTTACTTGGACCTTCAACAGAGACCCATTTGAATTCATTTTCGTGTGTGTGTGTGAGAGAGAGAGAGCGCGAGCTCTCCTTGTCTTCTGTTTCTGCTTCGTCAGGGTGTAATGAAAGAGCATTGGGCTGGAGGCCACCTTGCTGACCATTACTCAAATGGGTTCTGCTCACAAAGACCTGGAGTAACCATTTCATTTATGACCCAAACTCAGACACCTCTCAGGGCAAAAAGGGTGCCCCAGATCCACAGTCACAAACCAGGATAATCTCAGGAAAACCAGGGTGTCCAGTCTCCCTGCCGAGACTCTCCCTGAGCTCTAGCTTCTTGACTTGAAAATAGGGATGTAAACAGGGCATCCTAAGAAAGAAGGAATTTTCTGGAATAACTCAAATAGGAAAATACAGGGTCGGTTGTCTCTTGTGAGGTTCAGAAAACAAAGAATGGGTTTATTCATTTATGAGAGTAACAAATGAGCACAAGCAGAATGACAGGTATTAGCACAAAATATGGTAGTTTTACCTACACACGCACGGATCATATATTCAGGAACATCGCTGTAACCCACTTTGATGGCATAGAAATCGTAAGAAGGGGCCCCTTCTTAAGTCTTACAACTTAGGTGCCCGTGAGTTGCTGGAGACACACTTGCCATGGCTCACACCCAGGTGAGGGGCTCCCGTGTGACTGTCCGGGCACGTGTAGGTACTGGGTCAGATGTTAGTACAGAAAACAAAAGACATCAGATGAGAGACGCAGAGACAGACTGAATTGGGAGGGCACTGTGCCCACATGTCCTGGAGCCCACCCCACCCTCTAGCCCTGAGTGGAAACCAGGGAGTCAGCCAAGCTATGCTGGAATGCCAGGTCTTTTCCTTAATAACTCAAACTCCTGGGCCTCCCTGGGAAAACAGATGGCCCCACATACCCCAGTGAAAAACCCTCTTGCAAAAAGCTTCTGTGTCTCCCATTCCTTTCCTGAATTAGATCCAAACGGTGACTAAAATGTCCTCAATGGAGGGCAACCAAGGCTATTCGGGAAAGAGTGATGGAGAAATTTCCTTCTTTTTCCAGAAAGGTCTGTACCTTCTGTGTAGACGACAGCCGGCAGAGGGCCAGGCTCTCAACAACTTGAAGGAAGGAGAGCGGGGCCCAGTGTCCAGAGCAAAGAGGCTCCCACAGGGACGGCCTTCTCTCTCTCTTTCATCAGCTCCCTGCAGGAGTACCCTGCTGTCAAGGCGTGCTGGGAAGTATCCCTCAGACAACAACTTCAAAGCCAAGGTTTTCGGAAATAGCGGAGGAATCAACATTTTCTCCTGGGCCAAGTCCTTCCCTCTTCCTTTCATCTCATTGAACTTGTTTTGATTGTTGTTGATCTGTGCATATAAGAAGCAACCACAGAGGTCATTTGTCCATTTAGTCCGCAGCCACTTGTCGAGGAGGTCATGTGCGCTGGCCACTGTTCTGAGAAGTGGGCCGCACCGGTAAATAACACGGCTGCGGTCCCTTTGCTGAGGGCAGGGACGGCCACGGAGGAGAGAGACAGGAAAGAGATGAGCAAATAAATGCGAAATTATACACTCCATCAAGTCACAGCAGAAAAGAACAGAGTGAAGTAGACGAGGATAATGCAGGAGAGGGGAGCGGGTGGGGGGGGGGTTGTGGCAGTGACGGGGCAGTGACCAGCCCTGGCTTCCAGGCCAGCTCAAATAAGGCAGTGTGCTGAAGAGACAAACAAAACCAGTGTATTTTGACAACTCTGCTGGTTTCCCTTCCAAGCAGGTGGACATTGCTGAGCCCTTTATAGAAATTTTAGAGCTGAGAATTGTCCCTGAGCCCAAAACAGGGACCAGGGTCTTAAAGGTGCTGCTGGATTCATCGAAGAGCCATATGTATTTTGGGTGCCTCTTGTCTGACTGTTAAAAAGAGGTTAGAGAGAGAGAGAGAGAGAGAGACCTGAAACTCATTTTGCTCTTCACCCAAATGAGCCTCTCCCACATGGCTGGGCCATTTTTTTCTGGCCCTGAGAGGCCACTTTTCTCCCCATTAGCAGAAGGGAAACGCTGTATCGCACCTAAGGAGAAAGAGGGTGACAAAGAGGAGGCACCTGGGTGGCTCAGTCGGTTAAGTGTCTGGCTCTTGATTTTGGCTGGGGTCATGATCTCAGGGTTACATCTGCTGAGTGTGGGGCCTGCGTAAGATTCTCCTTCTGGATTCTCTCCCTCTGCTCGTCCCCCTCCCACAGGTGTGCTCTCTCTCTTAAAAAACATAACAAAAAGAGGGTAATAAGACATTATAGTTGGAAGACCTCATGAACACAGGGAAGGCTTGATCAAAAAAACTTGTGTGGTTGCAGTTCCAGGTACTGAAAACCAGAAGTCAGGGCACCTGGGTGGCTCAGTCATGAAGCATCTGCCTTCGGCTCAGGTCACGATCCCAGGGTCCTGGGACAGAGCCCCGCATCAGACTCCTTGCTCAGCGGGGAGCCTGCTTTTCCCTCTTCCTGCTGCTTCCCCTGCTTGTACTCTCTGTTAATCTCTCTGACAAATCAGTAAATAAAATCCTAAAAAAAAAAAAAAAAGAAAAGCAGATGTCAGTGCCACCACACACTTTTTATTTTATTATCGTTTGGCACTGTTTAATCATTGATTGGTATTAAACCAACAGTTAACCTAGTTCTGCCAGACACTTTTGAAGCACTTCACAAATATTGACTCACTCGATTTTCATAACAACTCCATGAGATAGAGCCTATTGTCACCCCCATTTTACAGATGAGGATACCGAGGTACAGAGAGGTAAGGAGCTTG